GGCTGTGGAATCTCTTTTAGTCAAGAGAAACCCAGATCCAAATCCCTGTTTCAAGCAGAAAGCCTGGCTTCAGCCTCCCCACAGGGAAGCCAGGGAGCTTCCCAGGGGAACCTGGCTCCCCTCCTCCTCCACAGCACTATGGAACTTCCTTAGCTGAAAGAGTCAAATTCTTGGTGTCTCTGCACTAAGAATAGACCCTCAAGACCCAGGCGCAAGAATGGTTTGCTAAGAACAGGTCCCAGCAAGCCAACCCCTGATTCCAGCCCTTGCCCTGAAACTACATCCTTTAAGATGTTTATCTTGCTTTCGAGTACATCTGCCTTCTCCCCTTCCTTTTGTTTTTAACTACACCATTACTGTGTGTTAAAACATGGTGTCAGCCAATCTTAATCAGAAATATCAAATGCCTCATTCTAACCAACTTCTCTCCTAATTCTTCCTTTATATTCACACCCAACTATGTGTGAAGCCTTTCCTGACCACCCACCCTTACTTGAAATGAACTATCTCAGCCTCCTCTGATCTGCTACCCTACTTCTGCCTTCCTTTAGCTTTTACTAAGCAAGAATTTCTTGAGTGTGTGCCACTCAAGTGTGTGCCAAGCCCTCTGTTTGGCACCCTGGTATAAACATGAGAGGTACAAGGCTCCTTCCTCAAGGGACCAAGGGTGTGGTGGTCCAGCTGGATAGGCAAACAAACCATTGTGCTCTAGTCTGCAGATACCCAAGTTCTGGGTGACACAAAGAAGAGAAGGATGTGGTCTATACTGTCTGGGAGTGGGAGGAGGAAGGAGCTGAACCCCACAGGAAGGAGATGCTTGAGCTGGGTCTTAAGGGAGAGGAGTTTGGTAAGCAGAGAACAGAGGTGAGAACATTCTCAGTTGAGGGAATATCATGCTTAATCGCTCTGAATTGGAAAGGACTAGGGCCCCTTTGAGAAATGAGAGATGCTGAACCTAGGAGGAGTGAAGAAAGTGATGGGGAGAGAGGACAGAGACTATGAAGCCACGTGTGCAGGGCCACACGGGCAACATTAGGGATCCTGACATTCTCCTAGGGACACCAGGAAGCCCTTTCAGGTTGAAGCAGAGGGTTGGCATGAAGAGATTTTCACTAGAAGAGACCAGAGCAGAAATGGGGATGGCCAGTTAAGAGGCCACTGCAAAAGTCCAGGAAATAAGGACAGCAGCCTAGATAAACTTGGGGAATTCAGGGTGGAAGAAAATAAAGATGACCAAAGTGAGGCCAAATTGATTGGCATTTGTAATTGAGATAAAACAAAGCCCTGATAATTCTAGAGTCTCTAGCCTTGGACAAGCTAACTTCTTCCAAGAACAATAACATCTCCATGGACCTGAATTGGCAGTGAGGATACAGCAGGCAATTTTCCAGCCGTGATTCCAGGCTGTCCCTGCAGTCCATGTCTTAGGAGGAGTGGCACAGAACCCTGATGGAATTCCTACCACTGCTCTGCCCAGTTACGCATTTTGAATACGTCTTCAACCTGAACTAAAATTTGCCATTTCCATGGACCAGTTTAAATAAACATAGAAACTGGTTACTATTTAGCACAGAAACTGGTTACTATCTTACCCTATTTGCCTCTGGATATTTTTTTAAATAAGGAGCTTGCTTAAAGGAATGCAGTCATTCACATTTCTCTATGCCATCCCAAGTGAGTGCTGCAGTGTGGGGTGCGGGAGCTTACCTGGCAGTGATGTATAGGCCCAACCCAGCTGTCTGCACACCTGGTCTATAGCAAGTATCTCCAGAACTTTTGCAATTGCATCTGTTCTTCTGCCTACTGCAAGGCGGATGTCATTGTGGTTACATTGAGAATGCACCGCGTTCTGCGAAAAATATCATTGGGGTCACAAAGCCTCCTTGGTGGGTTTGACATGTTGCCTTGTCCTCCCCACAACCCACAGGGCTAAAAGGCCCCCAAGCTGATTTCCGGGAGACTAAGATGAAACTACTCTATTTTCAAGCAGTACACCCCAAAATCTGGCCATCATGATACTCAGGGGCCTTGTTCCCAAGATCCAAATGTGTGGAGGTTGACTCTGGCCCTCTCAATGCTTCCACCACTGGGCAAGTGCAGTTTCGTGTCTAGCCATCTTTACCACCCTCCTGATTGTAGCCTTTGGCCAGTAGGGCCATTTGACACTCCTGATACAGTGCTGGTGGTGCTGAGCAAAATGGCAAACTGCCATCTAGGGCAAGGATTGATGTGTTGGTGGCCTGTCTGGACTTTATTGCTTCCTTGTCTCCTTCACTCATGTGAGCTGAGGGACAGCACTATGTATATACATCAAGGGACCCACATACCATGCACACACACACATGCATACATCAATATGCCAGTTCTAACCATCAATGCAAAGGTGTTTTCTTCCTCAACTCCCTCATCTTCCATTTTAAAAAGCTGCAGGTATTGGTGCAAGTCCTCAGTGATACAGATACATTGTACCTACCACAGCCTTGGTAGTGTTGCAATAATTGGCAATTGTTGTCAAATTTGTCCACTAACAGCAGAATTAAATTATGGAACACCCATATAAAATGCACCCATTTATAAGAATGGGGTGGATTTACATCTGCTGAAAGCTCTCCTACTGTGAAACAAGATAGGTTACAAAAAATGTATGCCTCATACAATCCCATGTGTCTCAGTGTATAAACATCTGTTTATGTTATAGATACCATCTGTTTTCCGTGGGGAGCAGATAACAGTGATGAGAGTTGAGACAGGGAACTTTGTGTTTGTTTTTGTATTGTCTGAACTTTCTCAAGAACATATTGCACTCTTGTCTCTTAAAAGACATTAAAAATTTTTCTGAATATAAAATATTCCATGTTCGAATAAGCATCTTGGATGCTTTGAGGAACCTGGAAGGAGGTACTGAAATCAAAATAATTAGGGGGGAAAAAAGCCCATCCAGTCCCAGATATGGTGGATCACACCTATAATCTCAGCACTTTGGGAGACCAAGGCGGGGCTGAGTGCTTGAGCTCAGGCACTGGAGACCAGCCTGGGCAACATGGGTAAAACCCCATCTCTACCAAAAATACAAAAATTTAGTCGGGCATGGTGGTGCACTCCTGTGATCTCAACTACTCAGAAGGCTGAGGTGGGAGGATCACTTGAGCCTGGGAGGTAGGGAATGCAGTTAGCTGAGATCGTGCCACTGCACTCCAGCCTGGGAAACAAAGCCAGACCCCAGCTCAAAAAAAATATAGCAACAACAAAAAAATCCCACCCAACACTTAAGTTTGGACCTCACAAGGACAAGGAGAGTGCAGTTCAACAAGCACAGCTCAGCCCATGCTGTGTTTCTGGGGATGGAAGACACATCATGAAGTCTGGGGCACAGTCCTGGCCCAGGAGAACTCGTGGGTGGGGAAGACACACTGAACGCAGAGTACTAGGTGGCTTGCCTCTAGGATCAAGCAGTAGCAATGTGAGGTGCAGCCACTATGGAATTCAAAGTGAAAAGACTCAAAAACCCTGAAGAAATGGGAAGAGGGCATGCCACTGGGGATAGAAGGTTTCAGGACAGCAATAGACAAAAAAGAAGGATGAGCCTATAGTCCCAGCTACTCAGGAGACTGAGGCGGGAGGATCACTGGAGCTCAGGAGTCCCAAGCTCAGCCTGAGCAAAATAATGAGACTCTAACCTTTTTTTTTTTCTTTCTTTTTTTAAGGGAAACAAAAGGGAAGGGGACCACACACATGTACCAGGGATAGAAGAGAGAAAAACACCTCCACCAAACATTCACCCATGTCATCCATGCCTCTCTGCAGAGCACCCAGAGCTGGGGGCAAAAGAAATGAGGTCCAAGTGAGACAGCACAGGAGCTGGCTCCAGGGCTTAAACAGACCAGTATCCCTGGTCTGTTAGGGACTGTAAGTGCAAGGGTGTGAAAGCACAGAGGGCAGTGGTTGGATGACTTCAAGCCTGTAAAGCTGCAGCTGCAGGTGTATGGGAAGGGCAGGGCAGGGGGCTGTGCAGAGGCTGGGAGGAGCCAGCACCCTAGGCCTGGTCAACGAACCTGGGGTTGAGTTTCCATCCAGCAATGCAGACCATGGGAGGCTGCAGGAGTGACGTTGTCAGATCCCCTTTATGAGAATAATAATTTTTTGGGGGGGGATGGGGTTTTGCTCTTGTTGCCTAGGCTGGGATGCAGTGGCACAATCTTGGCTCACCTGCAACCTCCGCCTCCCGAGTTCAAGAGATCCTCCTGCCTCAGCCTCCCACGTAGCTGGGATTATAGGCACCTGCCATCATGCCCGGCTAATTTTGTATTTTTAGTAGAGGCGGGGTTTCTCCATGCTGGTTAGGCTGGTCTCGAACTCCCGACCTCAGGTGATCCCTCCGCCTCGGCCTCCCAAAGTGCTGGAATTACAGGGAGAATAATAATTTTTATAACAACGTGTCTGGAAGACAAGTCAGGAGAGAGACTGGTGTGGAGGCTCTTGCAACGGCCGCAAGAAGAGTTGAGGCTGTGTGGTGAGTTTAGCCGCTAGGCGAAAGCCCGGAAGGGTGAGGTCAGCAGCGCCACCCAAGGCTTCGGCTGCTGCCGCCCTCATGGAAATCTCCTGGGGGAAGGGAGAGGGCCCTTCCTCGGTGTTCTGCCCGAGTTCCCGAGAAGCGGGTAGGTTGCTAGCTCTTCTTCCTTTTCAGTCCTCAGTGCCCATTTTGCCGATAAAAAGCCCCAAAGTGACAGTTCAAGAGACGCCTTTAGTTAAGGCAAAGGAAGGGACACTCCCCTCCTTTCCTGCCTGCTCTCGCCCTCACTTGAAACCTTTGGTCTCTCTTCACCCACTCTGTCAATGTCACAAGGCAGCCATTTCCAAGGACTATTTCCAAGCCCTTTTCCTCGTTCCCAAACCCGCAGTTTTCAACTGTCCCCAGCTGCATCGCCAGGCTGCCTCGACGGCCCCACTCACGGCCCCCAGTCTCTTCAGAAGGCGACAACCGCGAAAAGGAGGGTGACTCTCCCCGGCGGGGGCTTCAGGTGACATCACATCCTTCAAATGCGAAATTAGTCTCCGGGCAGGTCGAAGGGCGAAACTCCCCCCACCCCCGCCGCCCCGCTGTGCGCCCCACCGACTCCCGCTCGCCTCTCCTCGCGCCCGAGCTTCGAGCCGACCCTCGCAGTGTCCTGGGGAGGGCGTCATGGCCTCGCCAGTGACCGCCTTGCTCCTGCCGCTGGCCATGCTGCTCCGTGAGTTTGCGACCCCCGGGAAGGCAGGGGGTGGGGCGGTCGGGGGGCGCGGGACTCAGCCTCGCTGTCTGCTGCCTCCAGATGCTGCCAGGCCCAGCCGGTTCCGGGTGTCGCCGCTGGATCGGACCTGGAACTTGGGCGACACGGTGGAGCTGAAGTGCGAGGTGCTGCTGTCCAACCCGGCCTCCGGCTGCTCGTGGCTCTTTCAGCCGCGCGGCGCTGCCGCCAGCCCCAACTTCCTCCTATACATCTCCCAAACCAAGTCCAAGGTGGCCGATGGGCTGGACACCCAGCGATACTCCGGCAAGAAGATGGGGGACAGCTTCATTCTCACCCTGAGCGACTTCCGAGAGGAGAACCAGGGCTACTATTTCTGCTCGGCCCTGAGAAACTCCATCATGTACTTCAGCAGCTTCGTGCCGGTCTTCCTGCCAGGTCCGGGCGCGGGGTGCGGCGCCTCTCCGCGTGGGGCTCGGGGCTCCCCTCACTTTGTTTTCCACACGGAGGCCCTGCTTTCAAGCCTCCTAGAGCACCTGGAACCGACTTGTATACTGTTCCCATTTCACAGACGGGCAAACTGAGGCTAACCTGCGGCTGACTGGGGAATGGAGATGGCTTTTTAGGTCCGGCTGATCTGGGCTCGAGTTCGGATGCTTGCGTGGTTCTGGGCAAACGACTTAAATTCTCTGCGCCTCTGTTTGCTCGTGGGTAAACCAGGGTTGCTGGTTCAGCCCAGGAGAGAGGCCGGGTGCCAGGAAGCGGGCTTCTGCGCTCTGGCCCCGGGCGCCGCGTGCTCAGGGCTGAGCCAGGGAGAAGCACCGGGGTCGGCGAGCATCGCCGGGTCTTCATCCCGTCTCCTCTGCCATCCCTTCTCCCAGGAAAACCCGCGGGGAGGCTCCCCCGTAGGGAAAGGCTCCCGGGGCCAGGCTGGGTAGGGGCCGGTCCATAACCCCAGCCTGGCCCCCCACCACGCTCTATTGCTCCTGCAGCGAAGCCCACCACGACGCCAGCGCCGCGACCACCCACACCGGAGCCCACCACAGCGTCGCAGCCCCTGTCCCTGCGTCCACAGGCTTGCCGGCCAGCGGCGGGGGTCGCAGGTGAGATGTGCGGAGTCCCGGCGCGGGGGCGGCACGGACCGCGGGGAAAGCCCATGCCAGGGGCAGCCCTGATACTGTAGGTAGAGCCGAGGCATGTCCAAGTGGTGGGAAACCGAGACCTGAGGCCAAGAGACGCGTCCGGGACGGTGGGCCGGGTCGGGGGATCCCGGGCCCGCTCCTAAATGTTGTTGTCTTTGGTGTCGTCAGGGGACACGAGGGGGCTGGACTTCGCCTGTGATATCTACATCTGGGTGCCCCTGGCCGGGACCTGCGGGATCCTTCTCCTGTCACTGGTCCTCACCGTTTACTGCAATCACAGTAAGTTCCGAGGAATCGTGGCGAGGATGAGTCCGCCCAGCTCCCGCCAGACCTTGAGGGCGGTGGGTTGAGATTTCTGGGACTCTCGAGCTGCCCCACAGGTACAGGCACTTCTTTCCTGGAGATAGGACGCGAGAGAGCCCTTCCTGCTCCTTCTCGCGCTCTTGGAGAGGTTTTGGGAAGATAAAGCCCTGTTCCCAGAGGGGCTGCAACGGGTGTGTTCCGTCAGCGAAGCCCGCAGCTAGCGCACAGGTCCGGACACAGGACAAACGCTCGCCAGGAGGGGGCCGCCGTGGCCCTGGGTCAAGTGCCCATAAGGGTTAGGTCAAAACCACGACCAGTTCACCCTTGGTTCCCTTCCCGTGAGCCGCCCACCCGCTTTGGGTCCCATGCAGGGGAGGTGCCGGATCAGGTCTACAGGCTCCTCGCGTTCACTCACGTCTATAGTTGCATTTTTTTCTTTAAATTGATGCTTGAGACGAAGGATGGATGAGAAACCCTTACCTGGGTCTCAAGAGTTATAATCCTCAAAGAAATAGGGGAAAGGAAGGAGAAATCGTAGGGGCAATTCGCTATCTGCCCCATCCAATTTCAGCCCATGATCATTCTGAAATAATTTTTTTTTTTTTTTTTTTGTAAAACCAAAAAACAAAACAAACAAAATACCCCGTCTTTGGGGACTACTGGTGGATGGGGGCACTCACTTTTTCCCTTCTTTCTCCTTTATCCAGGGAACCGAAGACGTGTTTGCAAATGTCCCCGGTGAGTCTCTTTTGAACTCTCAGCCTGCTCACCTTGGGCAGTCCTGGAGTGGGGTCCTGATTTCCGCAGCAGCAAATAGTGGGAACTTTTCCCAAAGGGAGGTCATGGCCGTGGAGTCCTGGGGCAGGGAGTCAGCTCGTTCCAAAGCAAAGAGAAGCTGAGGCTGGCATCTGGCCTGCATCCTTGAGAAAAAGGAGGCCCGGGTTAGGCTGGTGCTGAGAGCAGTGTGACTCCAGTAAATCTCCATCTTATTTGGCCTGGCACTTTAAAAAAAAAAAAGAATGGCTTTGGTTCCTAATTTCTCTGTATCATGTGGGGCCTTGGTTTTCTGCCAAGGACTGGAGTAGAAAAATGGGGAACCAGATGCAGGGACAATTCACTATCTGGCAGCTCAAGTGACTGCCCTATCCAGTTTCAGCCCACGATCATTCTGAAATCATTTAAAAATAAAAAACACATTTTCTGTTAAAAACCTCCTCTCTTCACTCGTTGGCTGAGGCATCCCTGTGGCAGCATCTAACAAGTGCCTGCTGTTGCCAGGCACTGTGATAGGGGTGATACTCCCCAGCTCTCTTAATCCTCACAGCAACCTTGTCCCATCTCACAGCTCATGGGCTCAAGGATTAGGAAACCTACCCAAAGTGGCAATGGCAGGATTAAACTCAGATTATCAATAATAATAACCATTTGATGAAAGTTACCATACACGTTACTTGCTTTCTAGATTTTTTTTTTAAAAGTTTTATAACCACCTTTAAAGTAGTTACGATCACCTCCATTTTACAGATAAGGAAACTGAGGCTCAGAACACTTAGTGATTTGTCCAAAGCCATACTGTGGGCAAGTAGTGGAGCCGCAACTTCCAGCCAAGGCTCAGACACCTTCCCGTGGTTGCAGGCTGAAGTGTTAAGGATAACCGACTATGTACACCAGTTCTTTCCAGTAGATGAAATAGTTTTATACCTGGAGTTTGCCTTTTATACTCCTTTACATTTTTCTGAGGGAATCCAAGTTCAGGACTTCACACATTGTTATTTTTAACAATGGAAATGCAATTAATTTCCAATGCATATGTTATAGGTGATATACCACCGAAATAAAGACCCTTTAAAAATCAGCTGGGTGTTGTGGCGCGTGCCTGTAATCCCAACTACTCAGGATGTTGAGGCAGGAGAATCACTTGAACCGGGGAGGCAGATTCAGTGAGCTGAGATCGTGCCACAGCTCTCCAGCCTGGGTAACAGAGCACGATTCCATCACACACACAAAAATGGAGAAAGTTCGTTTTTAGCATTTTTATTATTCAGGGTGCACTTGGGAACTTTTGCAGGAGAATCATCCCTTTTCTCTATGATTTCTGAAAACTCTCATTTTGAGATGAATAACTGAGAATAAAATTCTGCCTTAAAATACAAATTAAAATTCTGTATTTTAATTCCCCATATTAAACACATCTGGGGAATTTCACCACCCGAGTTAACATACTCAGTGATGACGGCAGGCAGCTCAGCTTCAAGAGAGAGGTTTTAGAGGGCTGAGAGTGCAGACATGACACTCATGATGATGAATTAGCATATTTAGGAGGTGCTAGCCTGGTGCTGAATTAACACACATTTTTAGCATAACATCATTTGGCTCATGGTGGTGATTTGCTGACAACCTCCTCTATCCCTGTGATCCTCCGGGGCTGAGACTCAGGTCAGCTAATGACTTTGGTTATCAGTCTCACTCTCACACCTCTGTGGAGACCTTGACAAGGGCTCCAGGAAGCTAGACTAACTCCGTTTAGATCCTGGCTCAGCAATCCTAGATGTGGGAGCTTGGGCAAGTTTAACTTCTCAAGCTCAGTGCCCACCCCAAGGCTGCTGTGAGGATTACATGAGATGGTGCAAGTAAGGCACTTGGCAGGGGTGCTCTGCTGAGGTCGTTCCCCCAGTCCCATGCTGGCACCCCAGGGGCAGGTTCTCAGATCTTTCAGAGGCTGGGGGTTTGGGAGGCTGGACACGGATGGATGTTGCACTGATGGGGTTCTCGCTACGACGATGGTGGCTTTCCTCTCTTTCAGGCCTGCGGTCAAATCCGGAGGCAAGCCCAGCCTTTCAGAGAGATGCGTCTAACGCTGTGCGACAGCCACTACATTACTTCAAACTGAGATCTTTCCTTTTGAGAGAGCAAGTCCTTCCCTTTCATATTGTCCAGTCTTCCTCCCTATGTATTCATTTCTCATGATTATTATAAATAATAATATTCATTTTAGTGGGGGTGGGGTGAGAAAGAATACTTTTTCTTTATGTGTTTGACGGGAAACAAAACTAGGTAAAATCTACAGTACACCACAAGGGTCAAAATACTGTTGGGCGCACATTGGGGTAGCGGATGGAAAGGGGCAGGCCAGAGCCACCCACAGAGCCCTGTTCTCAGAATCATGCTGACAAAGTGGGAGGCACCCAGCCATCTCAACCTCCTCTCCGCCCATTTTACAAAGGAGGAGGCTAACGCCCAGAGACAGCTTGATCAGAGGCACACAGCAAGTCAGGGTTGGAGCGGGAGCTGGAGGGACCTTGTTTCCCAGCTGAGGACTCTTTCCTTCACATCATTCAGGGCTTTCTTTCGGAGCCCCCCGCCCACCCCCCCCCCCACCCCCCCCCCACCCCCCGCCCTTCCGTCTCAGGGTGAAGTGCTTGAGTCTCCAGCTGCAAGGAAACAAGTACTTCTGGATAACCGGGGATACTGTGCCCAGAGCCTCGAGGAGGTAATGAATTAAAGAGAACTGCCTTTGGCAGAGTTCTATAGTGTAGTTGAACAATATCAAACCTTTTAAATATATATAATAAAGCCTAAAATTGTATAGATCTAAAATAAAGTGAAGGCTGATCTTCACCCTGGAAAATGAATCCCTCTGTCGCTAAAGAAAATCTCTGTGAAACCCCTATGTAGAGGCAGAATTGCTCTCCCAGGCCTTGCCTTGCAGAAGGGCCCATGAAAGAGGAGAGGCCATTCCTTTACACGTAGAGTTTGAGCGTCAGTGAGGTTACACTAAGGCCCTCTTGAATCTCTGAATTTGAGATACCAGATTCAAACATGCTGTTGGGATCACTGATGACTTTTTACACTTTGTAAAGACAATTGTTGGAGAGCTGCTCACACAGCCCTGGCCTCTGCTGAACAAGCAGATGTGCGGATGAGGCAGACCTGACTCTCTTAAGGAGGCTGAGAGCCCAAACTGCTGTCCCAAACACATTTCCTTGCTTACCGTATTATACAAGCAATGCCTGCCACTATTAAAGAGAAAAAACTTAAGTAGATAAGGAAATATGAACCACTCATAATTTCTTCACCTGTTAATATGGTGTACATTCTTCCTGATTACTTTCTACACATACATGTAAAATATGTCTTTCTTTTTAAAATGGGATTGTACTGTGCTGTTATAAGTGCCTTTAATGAATAAACATTTGTAGCATCCTCTTTAAACAGCATCCCATTTTGATCGTGTCATCATTTATTTAACTATTACCTGTTGCACATATCTTTGTTTCTTTAGGAAAAGACCTAAAAGTAAAATTATTTAATCAGTCCCCACCTTCACCCTGAGCCTGCCATTTTCACATCAATCAAAACAGATTAGCTTCACCCTGCATCACCCTTCTTCCTTTTGTTCTTTCTTGGTAACAGATGTGACGATGCTTCTTTCATTAATATCACAAAGTCATCTTGTTGTTGAGGTAAAATATACGTACTAAAAATTGCTAAGTTGTGAATGTACAGTTTGATAACATCATAAAGCAAATACACATCCATGTATCCAGCCCTCCAGAAGTCTGTTTTAAATTTTAAAACCAAGATACTTTTAGAGAACAGAAAGCAAGGGTGGCTTTCCATTCCCTAAATGAAGGATCCTGTGTGTAAAAGCAGAAGAGAAAGCTGAGAAATTTCCCATGAGACAAATTCTCCATGTCCCTCCTCCCTGAGCCCAGTTGAACAGAGCCAGGAGGTATCTGGCACACTGAGGGCCCAGTCAGGGCAGGTGCCAGGTTGTGAGGCCTCCTGTGTAAGCAGGACCTGGGCTCCAGGCTACCTCTGGATTCCCTGGGAAGGATGAGGCAGAGCATCTCACAACAGGTCTCTCCTCTTCTCGTGGGAGAAACTAGTGAAGTTAACCCTGGAGCACCAATGAATGTCAAAGAATCCATGCCAGGGCAAAAACAGGAAAAGGGCATTTCTGCCACAAGCAGCATTTCCTCTTCAACCTGGAGCTCAAAGTTGGTGGTGGTGAGTGGTGGAGGGGCCACCCTTGGGAGGCTGCAGAGAAAACCAAATACTTGCTGATTTTTTTTTATACCCTCAAAGAACAAACTGGATTTCACTTGCTGCAAGTAAAATGGTAAACAATAATTTGGAAGTTAAAAATATCAATATAGGAAAATGCATTCATTAGAGCTAGCCCTCTGGACCAGTAAGAAAATAGAAAACAAATCTGCAGGCCATGCAGGCCTAAAGCACACTCATGGTGGGCTGTGAATTCAGGCTTAGGAATCAGCAACAACCACAGACATCCAACCTGTTCATTCCACACATGCAGAAGGAGCACTCCACAGCCAGCCTCGGGTCCAACAATGTTTCATTTGCCAATTGCTAGCCTGAGACTTTGGTTCTACACATCTTCTTATTATGTGCCCATAACATTTTTTTTTTGACCCTGAAAAACACAAAGGAGAGAAGTGACTCCTTTATTATGCTGGAAACTGGGTATCAGCTGGCTGGAATCCAGCCTCAATGTGGTTCATTTAACATGCATTCGTTTAATAAAAACATATCCTATTTGTGGAAGAAAAAAGCCAGAAGAGAAATTTGTCATTTCCTTCTCCAGCTGTTCGATTGGTTTTAAGAGAGCCCACCCTACCTCTGAAAATTCCTCATGAATCTTTATCCAAGTGGGTTAGGGAGAAATCTCCCTTTTCTACCAGCCAGAAGCTGTCCCCTTCCTGCCCTGGATCTGTGTGCAAATACTTCTCTGCACACAATTTTATGAATACCTGGGGCAGCACCACTTGAGCTGCTCCTAAAAGCAGGATTGAGCAGCATTTCTCCACCAAAAAGAACTAAAGCAGGCCTAATTCAGTAGCATTGCAGTTAAATGCAGAGGCTCTAAACCAGCCTCCTGATGCTGGGCACAGAGGCTCAGGCCAATACAGGTGGACTGACTGAGCCCAGGAGTTTGAGACCAGCCTGGGAAACATGGTGAAACCCCATCTCTACAAAAACTACAAAAAAAATTAGCCAGGTATGGTGGTACACGCCTGTAGTCTCATCTACTCAGGAGGATCTCTTGAGCCCAGAAGTTTGAGGCTGCAGAGAACCGAGACTGTGCCACTGCACTTCAGCCCGCGCAATGGGGCACAACCGTCTCAAACAAAAACAAAATAAACCAGCCTTCTGGCTCTGCTACTTACTTAACTATGTGTTCTCTAGTAAGTGACTTAATGTCTTCATCCCTCAGTTTCCCCACTTATAAAATGGAACTCATAATAGTCCCAACCTCAAAGTACACGAGTTTATAAATGTTTTCTCAATTGCCTGGAACAGCTCCTGGAACATGGTAAACAAATAATAAATATATGCTAAAAAAATGAACTTGTACTGAATTTTTCCAAACCAGTGACATATTGATTATACTCTGAATGCAGCTCTGTGAGTCTGATTCTTCCCATTTCTGTTATTCCCCCAAAAAAGTAAACAGTAACCATTCCTGACCGATACATGTTATTACATATACCCCAGGATCTCAGCACCCCATGCACAGCAGGGTGACTGCATCTCAGGAAAGCTCTGTCCCAGACAGACTCAGCCTCTGACAGCACTGTGTCATTTGAAATTCACCTCAGCCTTGAATCCTGAGTGCCACCATCCCACTTCTGCTGTTGATGGCTATGGTCATTAATTCTACAAGGGAGCTCTGGTGCCGTGTTATTTTAGGTTAGTTGGGGTTTCACCATGTTGGCCAGGCTGGTCTCGAGCTCCTGACTTCAAGTGATCTGCCCGCCTCGGCCTCCCAAAGTGCTGGAATTACAGGCGTGAGCCACCGCGCCCAGCCACTAAATGTCTTTAAATAGAATAAAAAGGCCAGCCCCAAGTGGAATTTGAGAGAATTTACACAACCCACATAGTGTATCTCATTTAGGTCTCATCAAAACTATGATGTAGGAACAACTATCATTCTACTTTGCAGATGAAGAAGCAAAAGTGTAGGAAGTTTCTATCACTTGGCCAAGAGCACACAATTAGTGTCTGAAAAGACGGTGATGTGTCCAACTGAGACCACCCGTTCTCACACACACTTGCAGCCATACAAAGCAAATAAATTGCCAGGTGGGGTTTCCAGGAAAGGCTCCAAGAGGGGCTATCTCAACGGAGAAGGTTGCTCTTTCCCCACCCACTTTCTCCTCTTTCCTGTCTGGAACACAGCTAGGATTACACAAGCGTAAATTTGAGGTCATATGTTAAGACCATGGAGCAGAAAGGAGTCTAGGCCCCTGATGGTCATGAAGCTACCATACAAACCCGTGCAACCTACTCCACAACTGCCACTAAGCCTAGTCCTAAGGGCACACGCTTGGAAGGACAGCCCCGTATTTCCTGAGCTACCCTTGAAAGTTTTCAAGACAATTTAATAATTTCCCATGAAATTTCTCTTAGGGCAGATTAGCTCACTCATCTCAAATATCTACAGACAACACAGTCTTGTGCTTAAGAATAAAAAAAAAACTAACATGCGTTTCTAATTATTCTGAAGGGGAGAGCTTAGTCTTGAATGATAAGGACATGTATTTCAAGAAACATTTTTATGTCAGAGGGGAAATGACACACTAGAATCCTTCATTTGACTGGATTCAACACTTGAGCGGTAGCTAAATGTCTTTATTTATTTATTTAGAGGCAGAGTCTCATTCTGTTGTCCAGGCTGGAGTCCAGTAGCCCAGTCTTGGCTCACTGCAACTTCCACCTCCTGGTTTCAAGCAATTCTCCTGCCTCAGTCTCCTGAGTAGCTGGAACTACAGGCGCACACCACCGTGGCTAAGTTTTGTATTTTCAGTAGAGATGTGGTTTCATCATGTTGGCCAAGCTGGTCTCGAACTCCTGACTTCAAGTGATCTGCCCACCTCAGCCTCCCAAAGTGCTGGAATTACAAGCGTGAGCCACTGGGCCCAGCCACTAAATGTCTTTAAATAGAGTAAAAAGGCCAGCCCCAAGTGGAATTTGAGAGAATTTTACACAACTCCTACAGTGTAGGAGACCAATATAAGGAGACCAGTGAAGTTAGAAATTCATCCTCCTAGAAAACATAGATAATAGAAAGAGTGGGAATACAGTTAAAACGCTAGAGCAAAAAAGCCCACTATCACTTGAGACAAGAACATCGTACTGCTTCTCCAAATAACACAAGGTTCAGAGCACTGTGTGATGAGCACATTGCCTTCCTGTATTTCCTTCATGACATTTCTGACTCTTCAGATATGACATTGATTCTCAGAGAACAAGTCTGTCTTGCTCACCACTCTGAGATCTCCAAGAGTACCCGAGACCAATACTCAACAAATACTGAGGTTTTTGGTTTTGTCACATGTATCGCAACACCAGCCAGCAATAGATACCTTTCTCTTTTTTTGAGATGGAGTCTCGCTCTTACTGCCTAGAGGGGAGTGCAATGGTGCGATCTGGGCTCACTGCAACCTCTGCCTCCCGGGTTCAGGTGATTCTCCTGCTTCAGCCTCCCAAGTAGTTGGGACTATAGGCACCCGCCACCACCCCCAACTCAACAAATACACTGACCTTAATTACCTAATGTCCTCCCTGGCTCTAGCCTTGTCCCCTCCCCAACCATGCTTCATCCCATTGTGGCCACAGTGGGCCTAATAAACATGCAACTATTACAGCTCTCCTTTCTCTTCCAACACTCTCGTGTTATTAATCTCACTACAGGACCTCAGCTCTACTTTTCTGTATTTTCCAGCAGTTTGTAGGCTGTTTCATCTCAGTGCCCAGCACAGTGGAAATGTTAGATGAGTGACTGCTAAGATGTCAAACCACAACATGTTAAAACACACGTCTTTTTATTACAGGACTCTACTTAACTTGCCAATGTTTAGCATAAAGCACTTTGCACTTTCCGTTCTGTTGTTCTGAGATGGAGTCTTGCTCTGTCGCCCAGGCTGGACTGCAGTTGGCATGACCTTTGCTCGCTGCAACCTCCGCCTCCCAAGTTCAAGCAATTATCCTGCCTCTGCCTCCCGAGTAGCTGGAATTACAGATGCCCACCACCACACCCAGCTAATTTCTTTGTATTTTTAGTAGAAACAGGTTTTCGCCATGTTGGCCAGGCTAGTTTTGAACCCCTGACCTCAAGTGATCTGCCAGCCTCGGCCTCTCAAAGTGCTAGGGTTACAGGTGAAAGCCACCATGCCTAGCCAGAACTTTGCACTTTTCTAAGCTGAAAGGAAGTATAGCTAAATAAATGCAACATTGCCTGACAGGAGAGCTCACTAATCAGTAGCTCTGGATTACACAAGCCTTCTAACATTGAGGTGTATCGCCACATTTGCCAGCATGAAAGACTCACACAAGGGTATGAAATACCCTACTGCTACAAGGAAAGTGGTTTCTTTTTTTTAAAAGTACTTTCTGTCATACATATATTGACAGATTTCAAAGAAATTTGGTGGATAAGTAGACCATTGCATTATCATCCTGTCATGCAAGGTTTTAAAAACTGACTCATTAGCAGGTCACAAAATCAAATCACTCTTGGTGAGCATTAAAAATGAAATAGCACATCACACACATTTGTAGCATTAAATATTGTTTTGCAAAATGTTTCAGAATTCTAAATTTTGTGTACACAGGGTTGGTTATGATATTAAATTTCTTACTGGGTGCTGAAGGAAGAAGAAAAGTTAAGAAAGCCTGTCCTTTTGCTGGGATATGGTTGATTATCAAAAGTTTTCTCTACTGGTGGGTGAGAAGCATCAAGCTGTTTCGTTTAAGGGTGCATTTTTAGTCCCTGTCATTATGAAAATTATTTTTCATCTTTGATGCTCACCTTTCCTGTTTTGGTGGAGGGGGTGGAAAATGCATTTTACCATGCTGCAAATACAATACTCCCTCAATTACTTAGATGCTTAAAGAAATAACATTTTTTTTTAAAAATAACTACAGTTCAAAGCACAGTAAGTTTAAACTTTATTGATGACTATTACCCTTAGCCCTCAAGGGTAAATCCTATTCAGTATGAGTGATCTTGGCCTGCCACATTTACAAGGGAGGATACTTCCTGAAATAGGAAGCAACCAGGAAGCTCCTTATAAAGGAAATCCATTTTCTCGTGACCATGCAGATTTCAGTTCAGTAGGTTTGAGCTCAGGCCTGATTTCTGCATTTCTCAGAGGCTCCCAGGTGAGGCTGATGCTGCTGGTCCATGGACAACACTTTTGAGTCCTGAGGAGCCCAAATGCTGGAGGGAAAGGTGGTGAGACCTTGGCCTGGGCTGCCAGGCCTCTTCTATACTTCCTGGGCCACCAGCTCCAATCTGACTGGGTGGGATCACAAAAGTTTCCACAGGTAGGAAACATCCTAAAATCTCAGGTAACATCAAATCTCTCTTCAAAAACATACACAAGGAGAACAAATTAATTCTACCACCTCAGCCTGCCATTGAGGACGAGGCATTTCGGTCTCTGGTCTTCCCTGGCAACGCTGACAGCACAAGTCCCACCCCACCAGCAGCCTGGACATCAAGCTGCTTCTGGGCTCCTCTTTGCCAGGCTTATACTCACCGCCACTGTGGTCAGCAGAGTCGCTGCTGTGCACAGGAGGGGTGAGAGGGGGCAGCAGCTTGGAAACATTAACGTAATTGCCTACTCAGGAACTCGGGACTCAGCTAGGTAGGGTGGCTCACGCCTGTAATCCCAACACTTTGGGAGGCCTAAGCGGACAGATAACTTGAGGGTCAGGAGTTCGAGACCAGCCTGGCCAACATGGTGAAACACCGTCTCTGCTAAAAATACAAAAATTAGCTGGGCATGGTGGCACGCGCCTGTAATCCCAGCTACCCAGGAGGCTGAGGCAGAAGAACTGCTTGAACCCGGGAGGCGGAGGCCGCAGTGAGTCAAGATTAGGCTACTACTGTACTCGAGCCTGGGCAAGAGCGAGACTCTGTCTCAAAACAAAAACAACCACTACCAAAACTTGGGACAATACCCAGTCACCACCTCTTCTTGCTGTTGATGGCACAGAAACAGAATAAGATGGTGACAGATATTTTCTTATGCAGACCCTTAGCAAATGCAGACAGCAATTTTACCACAATCAGCAGCTCCCTACTCCCTCCCTTATACCTTTGTCACCTGGCACATTTATACAGACCGGTTCCACAAAACACTTTTTAAATGTGCATTTCTTTAATTTTTAAAAATATACACAGGAGAAGCCATGTGTTTTACAGAGGAATACACACATTAACAAAGCATTTCTTATAGTTTTCCAAAACTCTGTATCAGTCAGAAATTTATAAATTAAATATATCAGAATTCTTAAAGTTAAAATGAATTCCCTGAAACTACTGAATATGCTAGACTTTTTCCAAAATCAAATGAACAGAGGATATGGATGTGGTTTGTGTTAAATAAGGTTTATTGTTAGCTTTATTGCCTATAGTCTATAAGATGCAACTTTATTGTGCCTTTGCAAACAGGATACATTTTGTAAAAAATTGATCAAAATTTTCCATACATATAGCTCTATATGATAGATTACAGTGCAACACTATTCTCATTACATAATTATAGAAATACTATAGAACCCAAGAGCACGGGGTAAGCAAAATAAATACAATCCTGAGCCATCTGAACAAGATGATTTGATGAATCCTTTAGTGTAAATTTAGAAAACACAGAAAAGGAAAAAAAAATACATGCATACTGCAGTCATGAGCAAAATACATCAAACACCTGGTTCCTTGCTAGGTACAGGTGGGGGCAATGGTGAATTTCAGACACATGCACACTCACTCACGCTCCCATTTTCTTCTGCTTCCCTCCCCCCCTTCCCAAAGAAAAGATCAGGCACTAAATCCTAGTGAACCCCACAACTGCCTTGCTGGAGAAGGTTAAGTGACTGTTAAAATAAGAATGTATGGGTCCTCACCCACAACATGAAACAAAGCATGTGCTGTAAGCCAATTCCAGCTGCTCCTGCCTCTTTGGAAGTAAATGAAGCATATGCCCACTACAGCTTGAAACTGTAGCGGAAATGTCTTGCAAACAAAATTTTGTGTCTCTTGCTATGTCTTGAAGTAAAATCAACAGTGGAATATTCATCCTAAAACTAACTGCCTTGTCTGCTATTAAAATACATTTGTCATTCTATTTTTGGTATCTAGTCAATTGTTCATTAAGAACGGTTCATGAAGCTTGTACCGGCTTATGGTAAACATCAGTGTACCACACAAAACCTGCTGCAGCTAGACAGGCTTATGAAACACCAAACCTTCTATATGTTCCTTGCTAACACTCCCTCAAGACCACAGCATTCTAGTGTTACCAGAGATAACATACGTATAGTTAAGTGATGAAAGGTATTTGGTTTGTGTCGTCACCTTACACATCATAGTGATGAAACTAACCAAACTATGCCTCCATGCCTTCCCTGAAAATAACCTGAGTCGGCTGACTAAACAGACTGAGCAGCGTGGCTATCAGTCCACTTTATCAGAGGTTGAGCTGGAAAACCAGAGGGCTAATGTAGTCTACCAGCAGCTTGTCTTGTGCGGTTAACCAAGAGTTCTTGGTTGCTGCACTATCCACTGTCCCAAAGGCTAAGCCACTGAGGTGGAAATGATTCACAGCATAAGAACACTGAACTTAAGCTGCCTAACCTGCGGGACTACCTGGAGAGGACAAAAGAGGATCCTCATTCCCCACAAAATGTGGTGTAGGTTTTAGTGTCTCTGTATACATTAGCTGCTACAGAAAAGTTAAGATTTACTTCATAACTTTCTTATTTCAGTTAAATGTTCACACACTCAAAAAATACACACCCTATGAATATGAGGTGGCTCTTTTCTTCAAAATTTTTAAAATAAAGAGGCACCAATACCCGTTCATTTATGTATTAGAAGTCTCATATAATCACCAATAAAACAACAGAAATAGGATCTGTGATGATCACACAACAGAGAAAAAAGATCAAGAGACAACCTTAGCCACTATAAAACTGTACTTGAACACTCAGATGCTCTGGCTAAGTCAGAATCTAAAGACTTGCTAATAAGGTTTTATTGGTGTAGCATAGTCTCATGGCCTTTGTGGAGAACTGATATGTAGAAACAGTTCCCAAGAAAATTTTAGAAACCATTCTGAAATTCTGTCTTCGATGCACCTTATAATTAAATGTGACTGTTAAAATCTTGTCTCTGTCATTATCTTTTTTAAGTGGAGGCAAAGAGAGACAAAAAGCATCCTCCTGTACTGCTGACATGCAGAAAGCATCAGTGTTGAAAGAGTCGTGACAGCATTTATGATGGAGTTTCTAGGGTAGGGAGGACAGAATGCTGTATCTCAGCATCTTTGGTTAAGGTCTGGCCTCTTTTACTCCACCTCTCCCTCCCATTTAGTCTCTCATGAATTTTAGGTCTATGCACTTAGGGATGGTCACAAGACATAATTTCTATATAAAATTGTCAGATTCATGAGTTGCAGATTTTTTGGCCCTCACCCTGCCCAGGGTGAGTACAAGGACCTTATACAGAAAGCTGCAAAGTCAAATGCTTCAGTTAAAGCACGTTCTTTTTAAAGTTTTCATGAGCTGCACAAGAAAACTTGTCAACAGTTTTTTGACTCCCAACATTAGGAGAGGGATAAAGCTGAGCTCTGGCTTTTGTCCTTAAAAGTGGCCCAAGCCAACTGTAAGAAGTGTTAGGTCACCAAACAAATTTACCACCAGCCTTCAGAGTAGCCAACTGTAAGAAGTGTTAGGTCACCAAACAAATTTACCACCAGCCTTCAGAGTACATCTGTCTCATTCAAACCTTATATGAAGCCTAAATGCTGTGTAGGTGTATGGGGTGGAAAGATGAGAATAAGCTAACCTTGGCCTAGGGAGGGAAGGGTAAAAAACAAAAACAAAAAAACAATACTCTAGGTTTTAATTCAAAGGAAAAAAATATATATATGTATATATATAATAAACTGGTTTACACCCTTGGTCAGACTGTTGCCTGGAATTCTCTACCTTCTCTTTCACAGTCCAGAGTTTGTCTCTGTTCTCTTCCTTCACTGCTTTAGTAAAGAGAGGGGGAACTTCAAAGAGGATTCCAACAGTGAGGCAGAATCGTGGGGCAAAAGTCGCTATGGGGCCAGACTGAGGTTGGACCAGACAAGCACTCTGAGCTGGGCCAATCCCAACTGCTGGAGAACCCACATAGCAAGCAGTGGCCATCCACATAGGCCTAGCTGTATATTATGCAAACAGAGCTTTTCCGCAGTACTCTTTCGCTTCACAAACAAATCCCAGCTCTCCCAGGTAAACAGTTCAGAAAAAACCATCCAGGCTGGTATACTACTGTAAATGCTGCCAGTTTCTAATTAGCACCAAATCTGTGATTGCCCTCCCTCAAACTAAGTCCACTTGTAGTTTAAAGTGTGAAGCGCAACATTTCTCTTTGCTTCTGTTTTCTTTTTTCATTTTCTTATGAAAGTATTCCTATTGATATTCACTCCATGTCAGATGAAATAAAGTCACAAAATATTTGGTGATTTCCATGTAACATTCTTCTTATAATGAAGTAACTTCATGGGCTTAAGTCAGAATTATGTCCACAGAAGTCTTTTCCATGTAGTTCATCATACAGAGAGACTCTTACACATGGCTATTTCTGGACAGTGCATTAAATGAAGATACCTCACAAGAGAAAAGATCATTATCTGTAGCCATTAGGTTAATATACAGATTCACAGTAATGAAATGATACACTTTGCAGAAGAGAGGCATCGAACATTATACTATTCAAACACAAAAACAGCAATAAACATTTTGCACTACAGAAAATTTGCTAGCTTCTAACTTTAAAGATTTAAAGTGATGGGCCTGGTAACTGCATTTTAGAACTGGAACATGCTGCTTTCCTTCCAGATACACAATGTTTGATGCTGGTGCACATATATACACACATGCACAGCACTGTGTCTGCAATGATATAATAGGGCTACCAAGACCAAGAGAGCAAATATCAACTTAAGAACACCTCTAACTTTAGAATTTCATTTTATTAAACATACTTTTAAAACAAGCACCTCTTGGCAATAAAGCAAAAAAAAACAAAACAAAACAAATAATAGTACTCCTTCCACTCTAATGGAAGACTTCTCACACCAGCTGGTTAAACAATGAAATTTTTAACACGCAGCCTGCTGGGGCTGCATGCAGAGCTAAAATGCAGGTGTGCTGACTTCTTGGAGCTGGAGCAGAGGAAAACATCAAAAAGCAAATCTGGAATCTATCACAGCTTTCTTCCTTAAGCAAATAAAATGCAAATTAGTTTCATTATCCACAATTCGTCAAACGTTTTCTGAAAACTTTTCATTTAATTATGTACACATAACAGAAAATAAAACTTGTTCACAAACACTCTCAAGGCTTACAATTATCAAGAAAATGACAAAAGTAAAAGCAGGAGAAATATTAAACACATGGTGGGGAGGTCAATTTCCGTTTCTGCTCTTAAAAAGTAAAAAAATCACCATATAATTAAGTACAAAAACCTGCACTGAATGACAACTGCTGGTGTATTTACTTGATCAGAAATGAAGACCAAGAATATAATAAAGCCCTATGATAATATTCACTGGGAGCACTCCCCTCAGTGTGTGTACACTAACAGGTTGGCAAAGTTTCTGGAGCATTAGCTTATAGAAACATGGGAGTCCTTGGTTAGCTGCATTATATGGAACGTTCTCTTCTGAAATGTGCCCACAATTCAGTTTCACTTACAAATTGCAAACTAAAGTTATCTCTTCAGAAAAATATCTGTTTGGCATCTCCTGGGCTTTGTTCCATTGGACAGTATGGACACTTTAATCTAAAGACAAAAAACAAAACACTGAGTGAAGGAACAGGCTCAGCACTGAGTATTTGATTTTTATCTAGTTATAGAGTATCTTTAACAATTATATACATATATAAGAATACACAAAACACAGGTATGCTTGTATTTTGCTTTGAGGATAAACTACTTTCCCTTAATGTAACTGCCAAGATTTGAATGGTCACAAATATATTATCATCCATGCCAGATCCTAAACTGAAAGCCTCTTCTTCATGAAAATTGTTTCATAAACAAAACAAACATAACTTTTCTGAAAATTGTTTTTGGGGTTTCAAAATTAATTCAATTTCCCTTTCCCAAAGGTTAAGGTTGCATCAGTCTCTAAATGAATTTCAAATGCACTGGTCACACAAATCCATCCAAGGGCAGCAAATGTGATGGCAGCTACAAGCTCACACCAAGAACAGTCCACATGCCTCACAGTGGGACATGAAACCAGTACAGTCTGAACAAAGATCAACAATTTTTGGCCAGACATGGTGGCTCATACCTGTAATCACAGCACTTTGGGAGCCTGAGGTGGGTGGATCGCTTGAGCTCAGGAGTTTGAAACCACCCTGGGCAACATGGTGAAACCCCGTCTCTAATAAAAATACAAAAATTAGCCAAGCGTGGTGGAGCGTATCTGTGATTCCAGCTATTCAGGAAGCTGATGCATGAAAATTGCTTGAACCCGGGAGGCTGAGGTTGCAGTGAGCTGAGATTGTACCACTGTACTTCCAGTGATGAGTGAGTGATGGAGTGAGACTCAATCTCAGAAAGAAAAAAACAAGTTGAGCTCACTATCTAAAATGAATTCAAAATGCACATATTCTTTGAACCAGAAATTTCAATTCTAGGAATTTATGTATCATGTATAGATAATTCACTTTAGCACTGGTTAGAGAAAACAAATGTTCATCAATAGGGAACTGGCTACCCAATCTTATATTTCTATACAGACTATGCTGCAGCTTTAACAAAAACAATGAGGGCTGTTTCTGCAGCATAGAAAAAGATCTCCAAGATACATCACTAAGTGAAAATAGCAAACTATGGAACATTTTTTAGCATGCAACCATTTGTATAAAAAAAAAAAAGAAAATCTATCACCTACCCAAAAAGTTAAGAAAGTTAAAGATATGCTTATAAATCTGATCACCAAATCCATAAACAAATAAAAAATACTCAAATCAGATACCACCTACTTTGCCAAATGAATAGTTAAGAAGTGTATTTAGTTCTAAATCTAGCTGCATTTTTTCAATCCTCATTACTTCTTACACTCCTACTAAGTTCCAAAACCAAATTTATTTGCTAATATTTTTAAAAATTCAGACACTTACTTGCTACCATTAAACATTTTATTCAGGGCATCTCTTGATATAATATGACCACAGACCAATTTCATGGGTGGATTGTTATCTGTTGTTTGCTGACGAAGAATGGGGCAGGCAAATATAGAGTGATACCAGCACTTTTTACCAAGGTCCACTTCAATCTGTTAAAAAAGAAAAAAGCTAAAGTCATATTTCGCAAAACTATCCACATGGTAATATACACTGTGCAGCGAAGAACACTGATCAGATATATTCACCTGAAAATAACTTTCTATAGCACTCTTCTAACTTGAAGATGGAGAGTCTTAGTGATTCAAAGTGTTAATTAGCCTTCAAGATTATTTTCAAGAAAGCTGACAAAATGTAAAAACAAGCCTGACAGTGACCAGATTATCACCCCTAATGGGCAGATCACCACGTCTAATGGCTTTACTGCCTGGACAACACAGTCTTTAGGTGAATTCAGACTTCGGTCTGCTCTGTTCTAGGGTATGTCAGAGATGCTTAAAACATAAACGGGAAACTGCCAGATGCCAGGCACCTGCCTCCACAAAACAAGTGAAGGCTCAAGTTCTTTTCACTTGTTCAAGTTAGCAGCAGTGGAGCAGGAGTGCTGCTTGTGTCCTGACCACATTCAGGACCAGAATTGCACCTGTGCCTTTAATCAGAAAAGATCTTTGAGAAGCTGGGGAAACCAACTGACAGGGTTACCAGCTGGAAGAACAAGGTAACTACAAAGAAACCTGTGTATAGGTGTGATATAAAAGGCACAAAAAACCAAATGCATATGTTAGCTTTTCAGGGTCTGTGACACAATCATGACATAAATGACAATTCCAGGCCGGAGTCTTAGTGCCTATCAGAGACCTGGCAGAAACACACATACAATGACCTTTGCCACTCCATGTCATAACTTCACCACGGCAGCCACAATTTGAGTGCCCATCATGTGTCCCATACTATTCTAGGCATGCTTATGTTGTCTCTAGCCCTCAGCAGCCCCATAAAGAGAAAGCTAGTCCCTGTCTTAGAGATGAATACGCTACTGCTTAAAGTTCCAGGGTTGGCAAGTGATTGGTGCTGATGTTTAAAACCATGGTCCTTTCCATGAAGAGCAGTAGCAATACAGTACTGGAGGCCTACTGATGACTACAGGTGTTAAATGAATGACCCTGAACAGCTCTATACTTATTTCTATTGGCATTAGGAAAATATAACCAGTGCAAACCCACGATCTTAACGACAATAGTTAAGACAAAAGCAAATCCAGTTAAAATTCCTTTTATATTTCAAAAACAATCATAGGAGTGGTTTGTGAATTGCACTGCAGAACACAGGGCATGCTACTGTATATATAACCCTCCCCACTTCTGATGTTTTCCTTCACCATTTTTCAAGGCCATCAAGTCAAAATTATAATACTCCTCCAGGGTCCCCAAAATATACTAGGTTCTTCATTTGTATTGTTTAATCTTTTACATAAGAACTACTGTCAAATGGCTACAATAATGTTTCCTGATTAAAAGGTAAGATGAGCATTTAAAGATGCCATATTTTTCTAATACAGTAAAAGTAAATAGCCAATAGAAAATGGAACTCACAGGTAATTCATCTTTCTGGTTCCAAACTCCAGTGCACTGCCTTTGTTCAATCACGGCTTTGATGTTAATTAAAGCTGGCAGCGCCACACAACCTGCTGAGAAACTAGGAGAGCAGAATAGGAAATGTCAGTGCCAGGCCAGGTGTCAGGCCACTTGGTCCAAGGAGACATCAGTTTCTCCAGACTCTATATGCCGCAGGCCCTGGCCACTGGACAGGGCGAGAGCCTTATGTTCTGCTAGAAGTAACTAGCCATTTCCACTAGAAGAAAAATAACTTGTTTTCCCTCCCCTTCTTCCCCAGGCCCACTGATTTATTTCCTGAAGTTACTGAAAAACAATCCCAGTTAAAAAATAAAACTAAATTTACTAAACAAACCTCACCAATATGGGAAGAAATGCAGTTAAAGAATGCAAAAGTTAAAAAAAAAAACAAAACTAAAACATCTGGCTAGGGTGATTTAACTTTAGCTTACTTCCTCAAAACAGAGAAAATCAAAGTTTTAAAACATCCATTTTAAAAAAGAAAGAAGCTTTGGAAAACCAATTAATTCAAATGAAGGAAGAGCAGGAATTAAGAACTACTACTCTTCCAAACAGGGTAGTTTCAGCATCTGATTATGAAAGAAAACAAGATGTTCTTGGACAAAATTCTGCATTCAGCAATAAGCAAGATATAACTTCCTTTCCTATCCTCTTTCTTTCAGACCACCTAACACCATATTTGTTTATTTTTCTTATACTATGTGCTCCAAGGTATATGCTAACTAGAACAGTGATACTAAAAATGTGGTCTGCAGACGGTGCTGATTTATATACCATTTTTGGTCCAAAGGAAAGAAGTACAGGATTGAGAATGAAGTTTTTAGAGAATTTCATAACAACAGATGGTGGTGGCTCACTCCTATAATTGCAGCACTTCGGCAGGCCAAGATCGGAGAATTACTTGAGTTCAGGAGTTTGAGACTAGCCTGGGAAATATAGTGAGACCCCCCTGTTCTCTACAAAAAATATAAAAATTAACCATTAGCCAGGTATGGTAGCGTGTGCCTATAGTCCTAGCTACTCAGCAGGCTGAGGCGGGACAGAAGGTTCAGGCTATAGTGAGCCATGATCATGTTACTGCACTCCAGCCTGGACAACAGAATGAGACCCTGTTTCAAAAAGTAAATAATTTAATAATAATCTTATATTAGTGCCAAAAAAGGTTTCATATTGTACAAAACAACCAGATTTAATGGGCTCAGCTTATCAATCAAATGACATGCTCACCCCTGAAACACTTTTTTGCCTAGTTCTTCTTATCTCCAGATCACCCCAGTTCAGGGTGGAAGCACTCATTTCTTCCATCTGCAAGTACTGGCAGCCAAATGTCAGTTGTGATCGTCTCTTCGGGACTGTCCTCAGTTGAAGAGAGTCATCTGACCAGAGTCACATCCAGCGATTGCTCGATGTGAGGATACAGAAGCCTAGCCCTGTAGGCCCAATTTGGGACAACTCCACAGGCCCATCAAAGCTCCAGAGCTCCTTAGGGACAGGAGAGACCCTGTTGCAATTCTAACACAGTCTAACTTTCCTCTCTGCCCAGTCCTGCTGCTTTAATTCCCCCAGATGCTGATGTCAATAAACTTCCTGCATGTACATTCCCTCGAGAGTCTGTTCCTCAGAGAACCTGATGGCAACAATACCTCAGACTATAGCTAATTGCATTGGTTTGCTTTGATGCTAGGACGGAGCACCCTGTGAAATGCACCTTATCCATCTTTGTATCCAACACAGTACCCACAGTGCTTGGCACGTAGCAGGTATGCAAAACATTTGTAGGATTAAATGAACAGAAGAGCTAAAAAAAAAAAAAATGTTGTTTTCTTAAAACACATTCTTAAAATGTTTTGGTTTCAGGACCCGTTTTCATGCTTAAATATTAAGAACCTCAAAGAGCTTTTGTTTTCATGGGATATAACTTTTAATGCACCAGAAATTAAAATGAGAAATGTAAAAGGTGCCCATTAGTCCATTTAAAAATAAAATACCATGCCACTATTATAAACAACATTCTTATAAAAATAACTATACTTTCCAAAACAAAAATATATTTGTGAGAAAAGTGGCACTGTTCCACACTTTTACAAATCTCCTGCATGACAGCTGGATTCTTAAAGCTTACTCTGCATTAAAACTATTGTGATATGTTCTTTTGGTTGAGGTAAATTTAAAAAACCTTGTCTCATGCACGAGTAGTACTATTTTGATCACTTTTTTAGATCATTGTGAATATTCCTCCTTAATACCACACCAAAACTGACTTTTCATAGTTTTGGCCAAAACAGGTAGTAGTTTTCTAAAAGTTAGCTGCAGAGCAGAATCTGAAACTTTACCATTAAACTTTCTGTACCCTGCTACATTTAAAATCCATTTGTCTGTCTTGTACTTTAAATGACTCTTTTACTCATGCATGCTTTTGTAAGATCATACTTAAGACCTTTCAAATGTGACAGGGTTTCTTCATTCACTTAAAAAAAATGGCTGGGTAGTATGGTGCACAACTGTAGTCCCATTTACTCAGGAGCCTGACGCAGGAGAATCATTTGAGCCCAGGAGTTCGAGTCCAATCTGAGCAACATAGCCAAACTCTGTTTCTTAAAACTTAGCGGAGGTGGGGGAAGACTAACAAAAACCTGAGTGTGAATAACTATATGTTAATAATTCTTTCAAGTAAAAACTATTCCACGGCTGGGTGCAGTGGCTCATGTCTGTAATCCCAGCACCCTGGGAGGCCAGGGCAGGTGGATTGTTTGAGGTCAAGAATTCAACACCAGCCTGGCCAACATGATGAAACCCCATCTCTACTAAAAATACAAAAATTAGCTGGGCCTGGTGGCAGGCACCTATAATCCCACCTACTCTAGAGGCTGAGGCAGGAGAATCGCTTGAACCCAAGAGGTGAAGGCAGCAGTGAGCTGAGATTGCACCACTGCATTCCAGCCAGGGGACAGAGTAAGACTCTGTCTCAAAACAAAACAAAAAACAAACAAAAAAACGATTCCATGAAAAAAAGTGACTAGCTAGTTCATTAACTCAAAACAACATACTTTTTCTCAAGACAATTACAATAATTTGGCATAAAGTGCTTTATATGGATTTATTTGTCATACAAATTATTAAGATGATGTATACTCAAAGGTCAAAATTTAATAAAATAATTTAAATGTTCAAAGAAGTAAGAACATCCCTTTTTAAAAAAAATTTTTGTAGCAATGGAGTCTAGCTATGTTGAACAGATGGGTCTCAAATTCCTGGCTTCAAGAGATCCTCCCCACTAAGCCTCCCAAAATTATAGATGTGAGCTACCACACTAGGCCAAGAGCTTTTTTTTTTCTGAGACAGAGTCTCGCACTGTTGCCTGGGCTGGGCTGGAGTGTAACGGTGTGATCTTGGCTCACTGCAATCTCCATCTCCCAAGTTTAAGCAATTCTCCTGCCTCAGCCTCCTGAGTAGCTGGGATTACAGATGCCTACCACCATGCCCAGCTAATTTTTTGTATTTTCAGTAGAGACGGGGTTTTATTATGTTGGCCAGGCTGGTCTTGAACTCCTGACCTCATGATCCGCCCGTCTTGGCCTCCCAAAGTGCTGTACAGTCATGGTTAAGTAAAAATAGCATTTCTTAAGCTATAAGTGTGTGATGGTGAGGAATCCACCAAGTATTTGTGGAGTCTGTACCACCACCCAGATTTGTGCTAAGGCTCTAGCAGTTTAGCCCATCACTGTTTCTGGACCATCTGTACTAATGTCTACACAGTGAAAAAGGCTCTCAGGATCCCCTGAGGTTCACATACCACACTTTCAAAACTGCTGCTCTAAAACAGTGTCACTGCCAATTGTGCTATCTTTTGAAATATCAATTGCACTCTTCAGCAGAAAGACAAAAGTTCTTTTGGTCTTAAACATCAAGAACCAAACAAGTTAAGGAGAGGTGACTAATGCAGTGCATACTTCAATAACACTGGGCCAATTTCCATACCTGACACTGAGAGGGGACTCCACAGAGAGCCCTAGGAGGGCACAAGCATCCCGTGTAAAGATGTCACAGATATCAGCCCACTGGTTTGCATCAAGTAGGTGAACGTATGGTGAGTTCTCAATCCCTTGTCTCAGGTACACAAGGCTTCCCATCAAAACCTGAATGTCTTAAAAAAAAAAAAACACCAGCAAGAAAGCATTAGTTTGCTTGCAGGTAATAAGCTGCAAAAGGCATGAATACCCCCACCCATACTGATACAGCCTAAAATAATGTATTAACAAGTCTTTTAAAATTCTGGTCCTTAAGCTTGGTTTCTTCCTTCACCCTAAATTAAACAAATAGCATGGAGAGAAAAGGAATGTAGTGAAAATACTGAACTTATAAATTCTTATTCACAGCATAGCATAACTACCATTACCTAGAGGAGTCACAATTATGTCATCACATTATCTCTGATTGCAGAGATAATGTATTCCTACACAGATACAAGGTGTTAACAGTTGCCACCCTGGCTCTCTGACACTTTGCTGTGGCAACAGCAGCATACGGCCAGTTGGGGGTGGAAATGAGCACACACTTTGCTCTTTTTCAGGTCCCCTCTGAGTTTAATATGGAATTCCCAAATCTGCAACATCTCTGACTTATAAGAGACTTTAATATTTTTGCTTTTGTTCTAGAGCCAATCAGAGCTTTTTCTGTAAGTGATTATCATCTACAACTGTTTACCGGCAAATATGTATTAGCTCTAGTTAAGAACTGTTAAGTTACAGTGGTAGTAGCTATAGCCCTGATTCAAACATTAATAATATCTGACTCCAGACTCACCTTTTTGATGATTTAGGGCAAATGGCTGAAAATTTTTAGCATATTGTAATGCCTCTCGCTGATTTGTGGTTCCACCCATTAACAAGCTAATAAAATACAGTCTGTGTAGCTTAAATTCCAAGGAGCTGTTTTGAGCTATAAGCATTTCCCGGTTTGATACTGCCCACCTAAAGAAAAGGCAAAAAAGACTTTAAGAATAATTAAGAGCATAAGCAAGGTGTCTTAAAAACTTTTTGAAACCCAGTAAAACAAAAAAGTGGTTTGGTCTGCCATCTTGTGGAAATCTATGGTAACACCAATCCCTAGGGCCAAGACTTGTCCTGAAAGTAACCATCTGCAGAGGTCCTTCAATCAGTGAAAGAAAAAGCATTAAGGTAGATGACAGTTACCAGAGTAAGTCTGATGTATCACATAATGTATCTGAACTTGCACAGGACCATACTTTGAAGTGGCGTCAGCCATGAGATTCAGAAGCAGATTGCCTAGATCCACTGTTCTTTTCCTGTAAAACTGGCCTAATATATACAAGCATGAATCAAAGATCCTGAAAGGGAACTATACTTTCCAACTTTCAATAACTGCAAGATTTTGTGCTACTCACTTTGGGATTAAGAACAGTAAATACTGTTATTTCCCCTCAAAGTGCTTTCAATCTGATCAAGAAGATAAAGCCAGACAAATATCATATAATAAATCTTACCATGCAAAATGATTTGTACAAACATTGCTTTTTTTTTTTTTTTTTTTTTTTTTTTTGGAGATGGAGTCTCACTCTGTCATCCAGGCTGGAGTGCAGTGGTGCATTTTCAGCTCACTGCAACTTCCGACTCCCTGGTTCAAGTGATTCTCCTGCCTCAGCCTCCCAAGTAGCTGGAATTACAGGCATGTGCCACCATGCCCAGCTAATCAAACATAGTTTCAATAAGGAAAAAAAACAAGATTCAATTTTAAATGAGCCAAAATATAGTCCCTCAGGCTTCTATAGAACAAACAGTTGGAATAACCAATCCTGAACTGGAACTACCAGGTCAGGTGAGGCCAAAGGCAGGAAAATATACAGCCGATGAAATTTTGCAGTAAGGGAAAAAGAAAAAACTACTTTATTTCTCTAAATATTACTAACATATAGAAGCTGTTAGTATTATATTACTTAATTTGACTATCAGTTAGACAAATATTCCCCACCTAATTCACCAAAGATCACTGGAATTTGAACTGGGTATAAATATAAAATCTGAGTAATTCCACAAACTACAAGAGTAAAAACCTTCCAAATTATTTAGAATAAATTAACTCATTGGGATTGGACTTCACAGAGCTGCACTTTTACTGAGTGCTAACCTTCCTAGAAAGGGCTGTACATTCTAATTAACTTGCTGATGTATTCACATCTTAGAGTCAAATCAACATGGTGAAACCCCGTCTCTACTAAAAATACAAAAATCAGTGGGGCGGGATGGCGCGTGCCTGTAATCCCAGTTATTCAGGAGGCTGAGGCAGAAGAATTGCTTGAACCCAGGAGACAGAGGTTGCAGTGAGCCAAAATTACACCACTGCACTCCAGCCTGGGCAACAGAGCTAGACTCCATCTCAAAAAAAAAAAGAAGTAGCAGTAGTAAATCTTCCATCTGAACTACAAGCATCTTTCTATTGTAGTGCAATACAAGTGAAAAGATGTTGAGTGACTTTACCCTGGTCTTTATAGTGACAGGACTTTTCCAGTATGCTTTGTACCATTAGCTTCCTGTAGGCTTAGGTCTTTCCCTAGCTTCACCTTGGTGCCGTCATTTTCAAATCTTCCTAAACACATCCAATTTCACTTCTAGAGATGTTTCTTGTTGCCAAGTCCATCTTCCAATTAACCATTTTTGTAAAATGTCACATGGGTTTATCACTGGGAGTTAAAGAGGTGATACAACTACACACTTGTTGCCTGAGGATAACTGACAGTAGATGTGCAGTGAGCACTGAGAGACTCAGAAAGAAGGGACAGAACTAGTCATGACCACAATGTGCCTGTTACTCATGTCCTGATCTGCAGACTGAAGAGCTGGCAGAGAAGTGTATTTTATACAACTGCTTACAGTTAATACACCATGGTGACTGAAATCTCAACTGTGTTGTTGGCAGCCAGGTGTTATTTAACTAAACTGTGGTAAAAATGAATTTATGCATATTGGAAACATGCAAAGACTGCCCATAGGTTCGGTAAAGAATACAAGGGCTGAGCACGGTGGCTCATGCCTGTAATCCCAGCATTCTGGGAGGCTGAGGTGGCTGGATCACCTGAGGTTGGGAGTTCGAGACCAGCCCGACCTACATGGAGAAACCCTGTCTCTATTAAAAATACAAAATCAGTCAGGCATGGTGGTGCATGCCTGTAATCCCAGCTACTCGGGCAGCTGAGGCAAAAGAACTGCTTGAACCCGGGAGGCAGAGATTGTGGTTGGCTGAGATGGCCATTGCACTCCAGCCTAGGCAACAAGATCAAAACTCCGTGTCAAAAAAAAAAAAAAAAAGGAATACAAACAGGAGAGAAAGAACACAGATATTTCAGCAGTAAGAGATTACTTTATAAAGACAAGAAAGTTCCAGATTGATATAATGAAGAAAGATGTAAAGTTTGAGAAACTGAGCAAGTCAGGGTGTCTATGGCTCATTCTCGTAAATCTTAAAGAATAAAAAAGAAAACGAGATTAGTTTTCTATTTGTCACCAAAATTATTCCTGGCCCTCTCCTTTTCTTTTTTTTTTTTTTTTTTGTTTTTAGGCAGAGTCTCATTCTGTCGCCCAGGCTGGAGTGGAGTGGTGCGATCTTGGCTCACTGCAACCTCCACCTCCCAGGTTCAAGTGAATCTCCTGCCTCAGCCTCTCAAGTAGCTGGATTACAGGCGAGAACCACCATGTCTGGCTAATTCTGTACTTTAAGTACATATGGTGGGAAGGGGGAACAAGCAAACTAAAAATGCAGTGACAAATTATTACCTCTATAATTTTTTTTTTAAAAAATTCTGCTCCCACATTTCCAGCAAGGACCATGAGAGCACTGTCACCTTTGGAACTACTCCATTTACAGAAACGCTGAAAACCCCCAAAATGACACTTAGTAGGATCAACAGTGTCACACTGATCTCTGTGCACCGCCACTACATTCTTCTGATAAAGAGCCTTTTGGGGGCCTTTCTACCAACAAACCCCAAAACAGTATTTCTTCTGAGAAGACTAAGTCAGAAGCAATCCACATCTACACAATTACCCAGAAGAAACATTAGCATTAATTATCCTAATTGCCAGGCCTGTAAAAAGACTTGGCACACTGTTACCTCCGTATTTAGAATTTCTACATCATTCCAAAAATAATTAATACAAGATTTCGCCTTCATAGTTAGCTGTTCTCCCTCAGGAACCTAACCATCAGCATTAGTGGGTTTATCTCTCTCATTTTACAATTGTGTCAGCCTGGGTGGGTATCTATTTCTAGTAATACTTGAAAAATAAAAAACAGCCTCTTGCCAATCCCACAGCATACTCCACTATAACCTTTCACAGCATTTTAAAAGGTTACAAAAACCTCTTTTTCTAGTTTCCTTTAAGGCTATACTCTTGGTGGTAAAAGCTGAAGTTCAGGGGAATGAATGACTCTTTTTTTACTATTTTTTGAGACGGAGTTTCGCTCTTGTTACCCAGGCTGGAGTGCAATGGCGCGATCTCGGCTCACCGCAATCTCCGCCTCCTGGGTTCAGGCAATTCTCCTGCCTCGGCCTCCTGAGCAGTTGGGATTACAGGCACGCGCCACCATGCCCAGCTAATTTCTAATTTTTTGTATTTTTAGTAGAGACCAGATTTCACCATGTTGACCAGGATGGTCTTGACCTTCTGATGATATGTCGTTAGTAACATCAATCAAATGCTTAAAAATTCAGAGAATGGTAAACCTGATAAAAATCAAAATTCAGTCAAAAAAGTAAAGAACTCTATAACTTTGCTTTAGAGACTGAAAAAAACACTTAAGGTTTCATTTCTTAGAAAAGTATCATTTTCAAATGGTAATTTCTCAGCTATGGGATGAGTCCATTGCTGAAACTACTACCATTTAACTCATCTCAGAGTTGGTGTGAGTCTCTGTCCTTTTCACATGCTATTTAAGAAAACACACAAACTATGGTATTGCATATATGACTCTACTTAAAACACATAAATACAAACACATACCTTTATATGAGGTTCTCAGTAATGCAGAGATTAGTAAGATATACATAGCAGTGGTCACCATATTGGATAAACAACTCTACAGATTAGTGATCTTTTTAAAGTACTTAATTGACTTTGCCTTATTTACTGCTAGTTTCCAATCACAAAAAAACAAGATATTTTATAAATCTAATAACAGATCTGCATTTTATAAGCACAAACTCCAGTGTCTTTCCCAGGTCTCCCTTTTCTTTTCTATCATGTGTGTTTGGCCTCCCAGCTAGTTTAGCTCCTTATGTTTTTAAACATTTAGTCCCAAGGACCATTTAAGTTTTCTCTTTCTATAAAGACTTTCAATTTCTCTAGCCACAACTTTCCTACTAATTTCCAATACTGCTCAAGTCTTTGGTGAGGATATATTGAGATAATACCTATTCTTCCTCCTAAGGAATACCTACAAACCTGTATAAAATTTCACCATCAACAAATATAAAATATAAAACAGTGTTACCAACCCAAATATTTTTTTCTCTTCCGGCTTTTTCTTTTTTTCTTTTTCTTTTTTAAGATGGACTCTTGTTCTGTTTCTGGGCTGTAGTGCAGTGGCACAATCTCAGCTCACTGCAACCTCCGCCTCCTGGGTTCAAGTGATTCTCTTGCCTCAGCCTCCCGAGTAGCTGGGACTACAGGCACCCACCACCATACCTGGCTAATTTTTTGTATTTTAGTAGAGATGGGGTTTTACCATGTTGGCCAGGATGGTCTCGATATCCTAACCTCGTGATCTGCCTGCCTTGGCCTCCCAAAGTGCTAGGATTACAGGTGTGAGCCACCACGCCCGGCCTTCTTCTGGCTTTTCTATTCCATGTGCTGCTGCCTTCTTTTCTGTAACCTTCTGAAAAATGGCACCCCTTCTACATTTCAATTAGCTTCTCTTTAATAGGTATGCTTTCTCCACCAGACTTAGGGCATAGAGA